CGGAAGAGTCATGTTCAGCCAGCACCTCCGTCACCTGTTTTCCTGAGCAGGTCCGAGGGCCACCACCATCTGCACTGATCCCATCACCGGTCGTCTGCGGTGTGTCCCGACTGTGACCAAAGTCGTCGGCAAAGTGGTTCCCCTCACCACGCCATTCTCCTTCTCTAGTATTTCATTCTCTCTTTATGCTAGGGGTTGAAATGTGCCTCTGGGCGGAGGTGAGTTTTTCTTCCTAATTCGACGTGATGCTATTTCTTTTCGCTCATGAGAACACGCCTCGCCCTCCTGGGCGTCGGGGCTGCGTGGACGGCCGCGGGGCTGCGTGGACGGCCGCCCTCTCCGGCACTCGCACGTTGTCGCAGGAAGACGGACAGCGCGAGGTCTGTCTCAGTGGCGCCTTCGCGGGGTCCCCCCCCCCCGCCTGCCTCTGGACAGAGACCTGTTCTCCTTCATGACCAGATGGTGGCCGAGGGGACTGTCACCAGGCACACACATTCGCTCCGAGGTGCAGGCTGCCAAGCACCCCTGGTCCCGGAGGCCGGGCCAATGTTCCGAAAGCTGCCTATAATAAATTCCCTTAGCTCACGCCCTTTGCTAAGTATTAAAAGGATATCAACAATGATCAAATGTAAATCAATTATATCTATTTATATTTGAGTAACTTGTTTTGGAATCGGGGTACCTAAGACTGACGATGGGTTCACACAGAACTACTTTCCGAACAGGGATGCAAGTGGAGGCAGGGCAAACCCTCAGCCGGCGCCTGGCCCGTGTGGAGGGGAGAGTCAGACAGCCAAGCCCTCCTCCCTCCGTTGAAGACACACGGCACCTGGCGCTGTGCATGGTTTCGATTTTTATTTTATTTTTTATTTAAAAAATTTTGTTTTCTTAATTGATTTTAGAGAGAGAGGAAGGGAGAGGGAGAGAGAGGTAGAAACATCGATGGGAGAAAGAAACTTGAATCAGCCGCCTCCTGCACGCCCCCCACTGGGGATGAGCCCACAACCCGGGCGTGTGCCCTGACCGGGAATCGAACCGGGACCTCTCAGTCCACGCGACATACTCAATCCACTGAGCCACATGGATCAGGCAAAAATTCTTCATTTTAAAGACTATTTAGTTTGATATTATTATATCCATTCCAGCTTTCTAGTAGTTTCTGTTTGCCGTATATATGAATATAAACACACACACACACACAATACTAAATATATATATTTAAAGTAGAAACGTATATAATTCTTTTTCTTTCAACCTACTTGTTTCAGGAGACTTGGGTTGGTGGACAGTTCTCTGGTGGCGACCTTAAAATCTGGCCCAGACCCTTAGAGCGTCCGGTCACTCAGCGTCAGGGTGGTTAGCTCTCTCTTCTCGCTCAGCGCGTGGCCCTGCGTCCCGGTGTGGTGGTGGGACGGTGGCCCAGGGCAGCCTGGTCTCAGCTGCCGCGGAGGGAGGCAGCCGTCCTGCTCAGGGCAGGGTCTGGGTCTTGTGGGCGGGACTCCTACCTGTCCGTGTCCCTCAGGTCGGTGGTGGCTGTCTCCGCCGTCCCTCGCCCAGTCCACCAGTCTCCCCGCCGTGCCTGTCGGTGTGGCCTCAGTGGTACAGGAGAGCCCACTGCCCCCCACGGCCTCGGCTCCCCTGGAGGGCGGGGGAGTCCTGGGCACGGGGGACAGGGCTCCCTAGACCGGGAAAGAGCTCTCCTGAGTCACGTGTGGTCAGAAACAAGTCTCCCGGGAGGTTAGAAAGCATGTTGCTGGTTAATACGGAAACACGGAACCGAATGATGGTTCCCCCGAGGAAGGGTTAGGAGGGAACTTACAGCTCTACGAGTCTGTGTTAGGAAGACAATGACGTTTTGTTTTATGTTTCTATTGATTACTTTGGAAGTGGCGCCTACCTCTTTATTTTGTTTTATTGTTGTTCTCCATCAGGTTTGTCCTTACACCCCCTTCACTACCCCTGCCATCAAGTGATATTCAAAAGTCAATGTTCTCAGCTTCTTTACAAAGGAAAGGAAGAGAGAATTAAATATAAAAATAAGAAAAGGGTAGAAACCAAATAAAGACAAGAGTGGTATCAGTTCAGTAGAAAATGGACCAACTATAAGGAAAATCAGTGACACACAAATATGGTTCTTTGATCAGATCAACCAAGTTGATAAATTCTAGACAGATTAACCAAGAATATAAGAGAGAAAATGTAATTCTGTCTGGTTTGGCTCAGTGGTTAGGGCGTCAGCCCATGGACTGAAGGGTTGTGGGTTCGATTCTGAAAGTCAAGGGCACGCACCTGGGTTGCAGGTTTGATCCCCGGCCCCGGTTGGGGTCGTACAGGAGGCAACCAATCGATGTCTCTCTCCCCCTCCCTTCCACTCTCTCTAACATTCAATGGAAAACTATCCTCAGGTGAAGATTATCCAAAAAAGAGAGAAAGATAATACAAATGACCAATATGAAGAATACAAAAAAAAAGAAAGATTTTTTTTTAAGATCATACAGGCACCAAAAAGAAGAAGTGGGCGTCATGAAGAATACTACGCCAGTAAATCCCGCAACGTAGATAAAAAAGGAGATTTCTTTTATTTTTATCTTCTTTTCATGTTTCCAAATTAAAGTATTAGCTAAAGTCTTTGTAACTTTACTGAGATAATTTTTACAAATCTCATGCATATAAATTGTTTTTCTCACTTTTTTAATTTTTATTTTATTCTTATCCTCACCCGAGGACATTTTTTCGTTTTCTTTTTTTGTTGTTCAGATAGAGCGTGAGGGAGAGAGAGAGAGAGAGAGAGAGAGAGAGAGAAACATTGATGTGAAAGGGACACATTGAGTGGTCGCCACCTGCATGACCCAACCAGGGCCGGGGACAAACTGCAACCGAGGTACATGCCCTTAGCGGGAACCGAACCCGGGTCTCTCTGGACCGCAGGCCAATGCTCTAACCTCTAAGCCAAACCAGTTAGGGAGGAATTTTTTTTTAAATGTGCATATTACCAAGACTGACTCAAGTACCACGTATCTAATAAAGAAAATAAGTTTATAATTAAAAATACTTTTCCAACCCAGCTGGTGGGGCTCAGTGGTTCAGCATCGACCCTGCACCAAGGTCACCGGTTCGATTCCCGGTCAGGGCACATGCCCAGGCTGTGGGCCCGATCCCCAGTGGGGGGCGTGTAGGAGGCGGCTGGTTGATGTTCTCCCTCATCAATGCTTCTGTCTCTCTCTGCCTCTTCCATCCTCTCTCTCTCAAATCAATAAAGAAAAAACATTTCTTTCAATGATATGAATCTACATTGCAGATCTCTATGGACATACATCTGAAAACCTATATGCAATGCATAACTTCCTGGGGGAACACAGATGACCAACATGGACACTGCTACATTCAGAAATATAAAGAGACCGACTTCATTAGAACAAACAGAACATTATTAAGGGAACACCCCACAAAATTCCCCCGATGCAGATCACTTCCCAGGGAAATTCTCCCAAAGCTTCAGGCAAGGTGGCCGGGTGTCCTGTGGACTGTCCCAGGCACTGTGCACGGAGCCGAGCTTCCTCGTTCCTGTTGGGAGGTGTGCACGGTGCTGGGTCAGCAGTGGGCAGAACATTAGGAGCTTCTGTGAGCTCAGCCTCTGCAAGTCTCCTGTGTGACCTCCTCCCGCGTGTGGCCAAGACCTGTGCGTTATTCTAACAAACAACAAGCAAAGGGAGTGAAATGTATGAATATACATGTGATCGTGTGTAGATGATGATGCTACGTCTGTATGGGGTTCAGAGTCCGTCTCGCTGGAGTCTCTCTCCTTCCCTTCCTGGCTTTGCAGAAACAAGCAAGCGTGTTTGGGAGCCCCCACGGCCGGGACTGTCAGAGACAGCCTCTGGGAGCTGAGCCTGTAGCACGAGGGTGCGGAGCCCCTCGGGGTGCGCAGCCCCTCGGTTATACACCGACTTCTGCCAAGTGCTGGTCGCGGAGGCACATCCTTCCTCAGCTGAGCTTCACAGGAGACCCCACACCCGGCCAACACCTGGGTCGCTGCACTGCGAGACCTGGGCTCTGTGAACACCCGAATGCTGCTTTTGTTCCGTGGCCCACCGTGCAGGCCGCTGGTCTTACAATCTGCCCCGACCACCTCAGGAAGGCAGGGGTCCGGGAAGAGTTCTTAGGTTCTTTCTTTCATAAAATATATGTTTTAAAATTTTTCTTATTGATTGATTGACTTTAGAGAGAGAGAGGGGAAGGGAGAGGGAGAGAGAGAGAGAAACATTGATAAGAGAGGACATTGATTGGCCGCCTCTGGGGATGGGCCCACAACCTGGGCAAGTGCCCTGACCGGGAACCGAACCAGCGACCTCTTGGTGCAGGGTCGATGCTCCACCACTGAGCCACACTGGCGGGTCTCATAACATATTTTTAAGGAAGGACTAGAAGTAGAGACTATTACAACATTCTTTTATTTGAAGAGAGACCTGAACATGCAGATTGGGGAAGGTATTTTCTTTATTCTCATGAACCACACAATGCTTAATTGATAACTAATATTGCCTTTAAAGTTGAGAATCGCCCAGAATAACAATTATGACCCCCTCAGGAGCAGAGGCGGGAACTGTCATTTACAAAATATAAGTTAGTTTCTTGTGAACGTAACAGAATTGTCAGTAGGAATCTTGAGACATCCGACCCCTGAAATAAACACCAGGGGCGCTGTTTGGATGAAACACGATTATTAGGTCGACAGAGAAACCAGCTCCAGAGTGGACATCGTCAAGGCAGTTACTGTGACATCATGATCCTGAGGACATCAGAATCGTGGGATCAGGGGTGAATTTCTCCTTACCCCACTTCAGTGAGGCAGATGCTGGGAACTTGTAGGCTAGATGGACTAGACTGGATGCTCAGAAAGCAGGATGACCATCCCCCGCTGAAAAGTCACAGGACACGTGTGACTCCGAATTGGTGAGTCCTGAGGTCCCCATGCAGAGATTTAGTCTCCCATGGTGTCCTCAATAGTAGTAGCCGAAGCCACAGCCATAGCCACGGCCACAGCCACAGCCACAGCCATAGCCACGGCCGTACCCACAGCCACAGCCGTAGCCACGGCCGTATCCACAGCCACAGCCGTAGCCACGGCCATAGTAGGAGCCGAAGCCACAGCCATAGCCACGGCCGTACCCACAGCCACAGCCACAGCCGTAGCCCAGGCCGCCGTAGCCACAGCATCCGGAGCCAAAGCCCCCGTAGTAGTTTCCGTAGTAGCCACACATGGTGCGGGTGAGGAGGGTGTCTCGGGTGGAGAAGGTGTGAGGGTGACTTCTGTCTGGTCGCCTCTCCCTACGGGGGCCTTTTATACGCCCTCAGTGGGGTGGGACCCACCACGTGTCTCATATTATTGCCTAATTTATGATGATGTAATTGGTTTGTTGTTTCAAGACTAGAGCATCACCCGTGGGCATTGCAGAAGGCTGGCTCCGCCCCACTGAGAACCTTTAACAAGGTGATACAGTCACACCTCCGAAACTCTCTCTCCAGAAATGCTCACGGCCATGTTCTGTGACCAGGCGGTGCCCCGCAGAGGGCATGTCAGCAGTTTCAAGTGGCCTGCTCTTGACCTCCAATAATTTCTTTGTCTCCTTGAGCTCCCCAACTTATACTCCCTTCCATAAGATCGTGTCTTTGCAGGTATATCTTTGTAAGCAGATAAGTAAAGGCATCATCTTCTTTCTGTCCTCTGCACTTGAAGCGACATATTACTTTGCAATCATTGCTGACATGCGATGCCACAAATCCTGGTACTTTTAAAATTTGTCATTGTCATGTTTTACACATTGCATTTTAACGTCCCTTGTGCTTTGTAATCGATCAATGGGATGGTTTGGGGGAATTTTCCAGTGTGTTCTTTATGTCTCATTTAATGCCAGTAGAATATATTCCTTTTAATACACTGAATTTAATTTATTAGAACTTATTTTATGGCTTCATAAAAGACGATACGACTGTCTGCCCCAGTGGCGGCGTTGGCTTGTTTCTGCCAGTGATGGACGAGAGTCGTGTTGTTCCGTCCGGTCTCAGCAGGTGTCAGTTGGGCCGTTCTCACATGCGTGCCGCGGCGTCTAAGTGTTCCACCAGTTGGCATGTCCCTGGTGTCAGGTCACGTGAGCTGTCTTTTCATGTGCTCATGTGACATCTTCTTTGGTGAGGTGCCTGCTAAGGAATCTGCCCTAGTTAATGAGGTCACTTGTTTCTTATTGCCGAGTCCCTGCATCCTTTGTCTATTGGGGTCACATTCTCGGAGGTGCTCTGCACACATGTCTTCGTCCAGTCTGCGACGGGAGTGCCTCTCTTGTTGACATTGTCCTTCGCAGAGCAGAAGTCACATTTTAATGACGTCTGGCTTATCGCTTCTTTCTGCAATGGACTGTGCCTTTGGTTCTGTAACTACGTCATAGTGATACCCAAGGTCGTCTAGGTTTTCTCCTATGGAATCTTCTGGAAGTTTTACAGCTTTTCATTTTGCATTTATGTCTGTGATCCATTCATTTTCATGAAGGGTGCAAGGTCTATTTCCAGATTTTTTTGTGGGGGGAGGGGGGGTGGGTTTGTGGATGGCCAGTTGGTCCAGCACCGTTGGTGGAAAAAACATCTTTTCTGCATTCCCAAAGGTCAGCTGACAGCTCTCCGTGTGAGTGCATTTCGGGTCTCTGCTGCTCGGGGGTCTCCTGTCTGTTTCACCAATGCCACCCTGCCCCGTGACTGTGCTTCCCAGCGAGACTCGCGGTCGGTTGTCCCTTCCCCAGCTCGTTGGCCTCCTTCAGGGCTGTGTTGGCTGCTCTGGTGTTTGCTCCTCTCTGTGCACCGACACTCACCTTGTTGGATTCCACGAAACAGCATGAGGCACGTCGAGTGAGACTGCAGTGAACCTAAGAACTGGCACTCGACAACATTAACACATAAACACCTACCCGTAAACACAGAATGTCTGTTTATTTAGTCACTCCTTTTTTTAAAGGTATAAAGTACTTTATTTATTTTTATTAATTTGTTTTTGTGACAGATGTTTCTCATTTTTCCCCCATTGACACCCTCCTCCCCTTCCCCTGTCCCATCCCCAGCTTTGTTGTCTATGTTCATTGGTCACGCGTACATACATGTAAGTTCTGTGGTTTATCTCTTCCCCTCAACCCCCCCTCTGAGGCTTGTCAGTCTATACTCCACCTCTATGTCTCTGGGTTAATTTTGTTCATCAGTTTGTTCAGTTCATTATATTCCACAAATAAGTGAGATCATGTGATATTTGTCTTTCTCTGCTTGGCTTGTTTCACTTAGGATAATACTCCCCAGGTCCCTCCATGTGTCTCAAAGGATGAGAGATCTTTCTTTCTTACAGCTGCATAGTACTCCATTGTGTACATGTACCACAGCTTTTTTATCCATTTATCTGCTGATGGACACTTGGGCTGTTTCCAGATCTTAGCTGTTGTAAATAGTGCTGCTATGAACATGGGGGCGCTATACTTTCAGGGATTATTTCTATAGTTTATTTAGTCACTGCTTAATTTCACCAGAGTTTTGGGGTTTTCCTCATATAGAACCTGTGTACATTTCTTTTACATTTATAGCTAAGTACTTTATATTGTGGCTGCTATTGTACATAGGATTGTCATTTCATTTCAAATTTTACTTGTTCATTATTAATATATAGAAAAGCAATTGACTTTTGTATGTTAACATTGTATACTGTATTCTTGCTTTGATCACTTATTAGTTACAATAGCTTTGGTTTCTTTTGTGTTTGGTTGTTTCTTTTGGGTTTTCTATATAGACAATCATGCTTTATGTAGAAAAAGACCGTTTTCTTCTTCCCTCCCTCCCTCCCTCCCTCCCTCCTTTCTTTCTTTCTTTCTTTCTTTCTTTCTTTCTTTCTTTCTTTCTTTCTTTCTTTCTTTCTTTCATTTATTTATTTTTCTTACAGATGTTTCTCTTTTTTACCCATTGACACCCTCCTCCTCCTCCTCCCTCCCAGCCCCGTCCCCAGCTTTGTTGTCCGTGTCCATCGGTTATGCGCACATGCATATAGGTTCTGTGGTTTATCTCTACAGTTTTCTTTCTTTCTTTTTGTCAGTATACAGTTGATCTCTTTTTCTTGCATTATTGCATCATCAAGGTCTTCCAATGATACTGACGAGAAATAGAGAGAGGACATTCATGCCTTGTCCTGATCTCAGCAGGACAGCCTCTAGTTTCTCACGATCGAGTATGTATGACGTCGGTCATAGGTTTTCTGTATACATTCTTCATCTGGTTGAGGGTTTTCCTTTATGATTGATTCCTGAAACTTTTATCATGAATGGTGTTGGATTTTGTCAAAGGCTTCTTCTTTTTCTTTTTTTAATCCTCACCTGAAGATATTTTTCTATTTATCATCAGATAGAGAGGGAGAGCAGGAGGGAGAGAGAGAGAAATATCGATGTGAGAGAGACACATCGACTGGTTGCCCCCTGCACAACCCGACCAGGGCAGGGGACAAACCACAGCCGAGGCACATGCCCCTGACTGGAATCAAACCTGTAACTCTTTGGTCCATGGGCTAGTGCTCTAACCACTGAGCAAACTGGCCCAGGCCAAATGCTTTTTCTGCATCTATTGAAATGATTGTGTGATTTTTCTGCATCAGGCTGTTGATGTAATAAATCACATTAATTCATTTTTGAACATTGAACCAGCCTCGTATAATGGGGATAAATTCCACTTGGTTCAAGTGTGTAATTCATTGTATACAATGCTGGAATCAAATTGCTAATATTTAATGGAGAATTTTTGTCTTTCTGTCCATTTAGATATTTGTCTGTTGCTTTTGTTTTTGACGTGTCTTTGTCTGCTATTGGTATTAAGGTAACATTGAGTGAGTTAGTAAGTATGCTCTCTGCTTTTTAATTCTGGAAGTGATATTAGAGAATTGATATAACTTATTTCTTAAAAGTTTTGTAGAATTTTCTAGTAAAGCCATCCGGGTCTGATGCTTTCTGTTTGGGAGTGTTACGGTTGATTCAATTTATTTAACAGTCATAGGCCTATTAAGATCGTCTGTCTCTTCTCCGGTGGGTTTGACAGGCTGTATGATATTTCATAGCCAGCCACTGTTTATTTTATTAATCTTTATACTTTCCATACTTCTGTGAATTTATTATTTCTATTTTCTTGAATAGATGTCTCATGGGTTTGTAGGCTTTGGCGTATCTTCCTCACCCGAATATGCCCGAATGTGACTGCAGAGCCCAGTGTTCTTGTTGAATTTTGTATTCGAACCCACCACAAAAGTCAAAGAAGACCTACATATATGCAGAGATATACCATGTTCATGGATGGAAAGACTCAAGAGTGTTAGGAAGTCCATTCTCCCAAAACCGATGTGTAGATTCAATGAAATCAAAATCAAAATCTCAACAGAATATATTTTAGATGTGGACAAGTGATTCTAATGTGAAGGTCGAAAGCGAAGACACTAGAGTAGCCAACATAGTTTTGCAAAGGAGCAAGGTCGGGGTCCTCACATCACTGAGCACCAAGACTTGTACAACCTGCAGCTGCACAAGCACGTGGTGCTGGTCAGGGGACGAGCACACGTAGTGGATGAAGGAATAAATAACCCGAGGACCAGCTGACACAGGGGTTGATCAGCCTTCTGGGAGGGCCACACATACAGTGATGGTTCTGACACAAAACACAGTTACTTACAGGAAAAATAAGACTTGTTTATTGAGAATGAATAATTTTTTTCCAGTACAAAATCATTGAACGGGAAAAGGAAGAATTTACATTTTGGCGACAATCACAATCAAATCTTCTAGCTTCAGGTCACATAGTGGGAACATTTCTAATTCCTTAATGATAAACAAGAATCTGATGGAAATTCAGGTGGTGTCTTTTCCTCATGGAAGCAGAGATGACAAATGGGCATCGTTAGGAGGAAAAGTGTTCATCTTGATATATTATGTTAGAGGCCAAGGATGGTCTAAGCCTTAGACGAAGATGATGTTCTAGCAGCAAGTGGAATAGCATCGTCTGTAGCACAAGGGTCGGAAGGAACAGCAGCCACAGCCGTAGCCAGAGCCGTATCCACAGCCGTAGCCAGAGCCGTATCCACAGCCATAGCCGGAGCCGTATCCACAGCCGTATTTACAGCCATAGCCGGAGCCATATCCACAGCCGTAGCCGGAGCCGTATCCACAGCCGTAGCCGGAGCCATATCCACAGCCGTAGCCGGAGCCGTATCCACAGCCCCCATAGTAGTTCCCGTAGTAGTTCCCGCACATGGTGGCAGAGGGTGAGGTTTCAGTTGAGTTCAGAGGATGCTTCTGAAGTTTGAATGTCACCTGCGACCCTGGAAGCTTTATATACTGATGGGAAGGGCCAGGGAGTGGCATCAGTTTTGTGATTCACGTGGTGAATGTTTATTTACTGCCTGGCATGTGCAAGTCCCTCCTGTCAGTTGATCATGAGAGGACTTGGCATTTTCATAGCTACAGCCTCTGCTGTAAATAAACGCACTATTATCGTCTCTGGTTTTATTGGGAAGACGTTTTTGCTCTGTGTCACCCAAGCATTGTCTCGAGCCAATTACAAATCTCTAAGAGTAGTGTCCACCAGTAAGCTAATCATCTGAACACAGGATTCCAAAGATAAGTCCTAGGTGGGAAGGTTCTGGGAGGGTAGGAGGTTGTGTTTGAGATGCGTCTATGAAGATGAGCTGCACTAAATTCTCTGACTAGCTAAGTAATTGCTGATCAGTCTACAGTGAAGTTCCCTGGAACCCAGCACGGTGCCCAGTGAGACTCCTCAGCACCCCGTGTTACCAATTCCTATAAGTCCGATTCCTCATCGATGTACTGTCGTCAAGGTGTCCTCCACCCCTACGGCCATTCCTTGATGCATTTTATCAGTTCTCGGTGGTCATTCAGTTCAAATCAAAACACCAACATGAAAAGAATGTGTGTTTTTTTACAATAACATTGCTGAAAATGTTGTGGATCACAGGTTTCCTCAGACATTTCATTTATTTGATGCCCATGAAAATGCAAAATGTTAGGTGACAAATAGTACAGAAATTGAGGTCCAAAAGGGTTAGGGAACGTAGTAGAATTCACACAGCTGACCCGTCACCGAGGTCAAGGGTGTTCCTCTTCGTTGTGCTACATGAAGTCTCCCTTTCTAGTCACTGGCGGCTGGAACACTTGCTGTGACGAGGGGCTTATTGCTTCTAATGGCGACCCTATTCCTTGTGAAATTATTCTGTGATAAAGTCCCTACATGCCTCAAAGTCTCTCGTCATTCCCATTGGCATTTTGGGTCCTAGATACACTTTATTTCGGCATTTTGTTCACAAACCAGTTGCATCAAGAGTGGCTGACAGTACCTCTGCCCCTCTCCCTGTCTCTCCAGGGGTCTATTCTTGACATCCACCCCGATGACTGGTCTCCTAGTCTCTGCTGATAGGACATCCAGGCCATCTGTGTCACCCACACCACTGTCCAGATAATTTGGAGGATGGGAGAGGAAGCTGTTGTAAATCACCACATTGGAGCAGCTAAGAACAACACCCATTTGTTAAATCACAGTCTTAGGGGATGAGGGGTCTAAGCTCAGCCTAACTGGGGTCTCTGCTCAGAATCTCGCAATATCACAACCAAGGCGTCAGTCGGGACCGGTGAAAGACTCTTTGGTGTACAATGTAACTGGAGTTGCCAGATTTCTGAGTATGTCCCTAATATCTTAGGAAACATGTTTATACTAAGAAGTTGATTTTTAATTGGAATTCAAATTTATTCATCTTGAGTTGTATATACCAACCCCAAGCATAACGTAATCACAAAAGTAACTCCCCCCAAGTGTTGGAGGCGAGTTGCAGGTCCTTCCCACGGTGAAGGTGACGTACGTACACTTGACAGTGTGTCATCGGGGACCTTCTAGAATCTCACCTTCCCACACTGGTAAATTGATTCCTTCAGCCAAACTAGTAATTTTCTTCTGGGACAGACGCAAGCAATTGCAATGAGGCTTCAGCACACAGGCATGTCCGGTATGGATGTCTCCGCCCTGCCAAGAATGACATTTCCCTTCTTTTATGACGGACCGACTCTTATTCCTCCCCTTCACGTTTAAGCTAGAAGTTTGTCTCTTTTCAGAAAGATTCCTGACCTTTCTCTCTGCTCACTCGCAGCCGCGGCCTCTCCCCGGCTGTCCCCCGCTGTCCCCTCACCCCGGTGTCATTAGACACAGCAGGACCCGATGTCCGTAGCCTGCGCATGTGTGGTCTTCCCCACACTTCTAGGAAGCGGAGATTAAACATCTTAGTTCTCTGTCCACAGCGCGTAACGACAGGGCCTCAGTGTAACAAACGTTTGGTGACGGCTCACGTATCCATTTCATGAAATTGCTCTGTGTGCCCAGGAACAGTGCTCAGCCCAGCATCCGCCTCCTTTGTCTTCCTCTTCCTAAGATTAAAATTTCTTTTGAGGCTCAAAGGTGTCTGGGAACAATGAGTTCATTCAGCCACGGGTGGTTGGATCTTGAGCTCAATTTGGGCAGGTCCTTCTAAATCCCACGGAGATTAAATTTCTAAAAGCAAAACGCGTGACAGAGACCGGCCTCCCCTCCCAGATGCCGTGACGCGAGCGTCCAGTTCCGCACTGTCCTGGGACCAGCGTCTCCGTGGGCGCAGAGCTCACCTTCACTCCCCGCCTGGGCGTCCTGGACAGGGCAGCCCCCCGCCCCCGAGTTTGTCATTTCCCCCTAAAATAACCCTGCCTGGGGCCCTGCCTGGTGGACACACCCAGGGAGAAAGCACCAATGAGGACGTCGGCCTTGTTTCAGCCGGTGTCACCGACTAGAGAGCCGTGCGTCCCGGTCACCCTCACCCACCTGCTCGGCATCCAGACGGGCACAGGGCGGACCTGCGCGCGGTCTCACTCACTGAACCGCCGCCTGTCAGCCTGTGACCGTACAGACCACCCGGACCCCCACTCGAAGGGCTGAGAAGAACAGACACACCTTAGGGTTCCTCCGTTTCCCACGTGGGGGCTACCATTCAGTGACATCACTTCCTCCCGGCCGGTGGACTCGGGCGTCTCCCAGCCCTGCGTGGTCTCCGGGAGTCACGCGGCTCCCAGAGCTGCAGGTGGCCCTCCCCGGGACCGCGACACGTTCGAGCGTCTTCGTGTTCCACGAGGCAGGTGCAAGGGGACCACTGTGCGCGCACCCAGAGTCCTTTCTCCGAACCGCTCTCGTCACTTTTTATTCTCACCAGAACGGCGCCATCCCTCTGCGGATTCAGTCTTTCCCAGTCCGCCCGATGAGAACCTCGCGCCCTCCTTGGGCTTGAGGACCTCGCGGTCGGACAGCGAGCGGCAGGGCAGGGCTCAGGGCTGGTTCCCTGGTGTGAGGCCACGTGGCCCTGGGCTCCTGGTGCACAGCCGCTGACCACGGCCTCGCACACTTTGTCAAGTTTGATATGATGGGAGGGGAAGTCAGGACCTCTGCAGAGCCCAGCGGGATCTTCTCTCTAAGCACACGTTACAAGAACAAAGCAACTTTCTATTATTTTAAATGAAGAGTCACATTGCATTGTAAGTGGAAAAAGAAGTTGAGTAATAAGATGTAGGACGATCATATTTTTAGTAAAAAGTAGGTCATATTTATTAAGACATTCTTCTGTATAATTGAGTTCTCCCATGGTAATGAGATGTAATTCTTAGAACAAGAGGAGGGAAGTCTGAAATAGTTTTCTTTTTTTTTTATCCTCACCCGAGGACATTTTTCCATTCTTTGTTCAGGTAGAGTGGGAGGGAGAGAGAGGAACAGAGAGAGAGAGAGAAACATCGATGTGAAAGGGACACATCGAGTGGCTGCCACCCGCACGACCAACCAGGGCCAGGGACAAACTGCAACCGGGGTACGTGCCCTTAGCGGGAACCGAACCCGCGTCTCTCGGGACCGCAGGCCGACGCTCTAACTGCTGAGCCAAACCGGCCAGGGCCTGAAATAGTCTTTGATATGCACTTCCTCATGAACACTCTGTCCCTCCTCACACCGGGACGCTGCACCAGCGACGCCGTTCCTGGGTGTGTCGGAGCAGAGCCGGGGGTGCCCTCCAGTGCTCGGGACAGTGGGCAGGCAGACCCCCCGCCGTGCAGCCGAGCCGACAGTGAGGCCTGTGGGCCCTAAGGAGACGTTTGTCAAATCCTCCTCGTCCTCTTCTTGAAGAACAGGTGTCGTGTGCCCCCGGCGACACCCGGCCCCGCGTTCGTTTCGTTTCCTGCTCTAAGGCGCAGCGTTAACGCCGCTGATAGAACAGAAGCTAACATGCAGGTGTTACGCTGTCCTCACTTGCTGCGTTGTCTCTCCTCTGGGGAAACGGGCACATCCTGGAGCAGCTGTGTGTGGACAGCGGGAAGTCGCCCAGATGCCCACGTCTCCGTGGGGCGGGGACGTGGCCGGTCTCCGTCCCCGGCGGATTTCCCCGGGGGCTGAGACGCCACCCGCTCCTCCGGACAGAACCGATGCGAAAGTCACGGAACCGATGGAAAACCCTTGGCGCCATTAAAATGCCCGTTTAGAAAACATTCCCGCCGTCAGAAAACATCACCTGACTGACCCAGCCTCTGGGTGCATACGCTGGTCCCCGGTGCGTTAAGGCGTCAGAAATACCCGAGAAGGAGAGAGTCACACATCGTAGCGTCAACGCTGGTCACTGTCAGGCGTGGGAGTGTGTCCAGGTTTTCCTTCCTTTTCTATTTTTCGTTTTTCTAAAGAAGCCTTTGATATTTTACCCAGGATCCATGTTCTTCATGTAAAACACAGCACGTGTCAATTAGCCTTAAAGGTTTATTTGAATCAAGTTAAGACACAGTCCCTACCGTAGGGAGGAAGCGTGACCTTCCTCACCTCAGTGAAGCCCTTCCGCCGAGTCCCTGTCCCTCGCCAACCCTGCGTCGTCCCCGCGAGCTCAGGGGGCGTCAGCTTTTACCATTTATTTGTCTGTTTTCCAATCGCGTTCTCCGGGAATTTTAAGCTCAGTACTAAAGACACTAAAATGCTCTATCTAGTTTCGTTCCGTCCCTATTTCATGAGAAATAAGAGTGGAGAAAAGGAATTTTATTTGATGAAGTGAAAATGAAGTTGATTAAAGATTTTTTGTTTTGTTCTGTTTTTCTAATTTAATGCGTAGTCACGCCTGACATTTCTGGGAAGTCAGCACATTCACCTCGGACACAGGAAAGCGACGTTGACCCGTCGGAAAAGGGAAACCACCTTCCGG